ATTTTTTAAAAAGTTTAAAGTATTCAAAAAAGTATGAATACGAAAAAGTTTATATAATTTGTTAACTTTTTTTCAATTAGTTTTTTGATCATTTGTTGGTTTTTTTTTTTGTTGTTGTTGTTGTTTATTACGGTGTCTATTCGTTGAGAAACCCACATACTGCAAATCTGTTGATTTTCTTATCTGTTCTGTTCCACTTTTCTTCCTCTGCTATTGGCTTTATTTTTACCAATTTTCGCTTCTGATTTTGGTGCTGTTATTGTTGCCGATTATTTTACAAAAGACCCCTTTCCCTAAAAAAAAAAATACTGGTTGTTGTTGAAACACTTTTTTTTTTTGAGATACTTTAAAAACTCGATGATAGAGTGAAAAAACGTCTGAACTAAAAATGGTAAACTAATCCTGTGATACCTCGGTTTCTTTTTTGTTGTTTTTTTTTAAATATTATTTTAGCAGTTTGCATATATGTCATTACCACGTATGTGTGCCCTGCCGAGCAGTAGTGAAGTTGAGAAAGAGAAGCAACGTTTATCGACAGTTATGTTTCCGGGTTTACAGTATATGTCGTTTCCGACTGTTACATCACCGGGAAGTTCGGTATTTCCGCCAAATTTGGCTCAGATTCCGCTGTTCAACCAACAGTGGTCTTACTGGAGTGCTTTACAGCAGCAACTGTTACAAACTTTACAGCATCAGTCACCACAGTCTCGTTCTGGTTAGTAAATCTTATTTTTTTTTTTAGTTTAGTTTAGTCATTAGTTTTAGAAAGCAAACTATAATAACTGTAACATACCAACAGTCACCATAGTTTTTTGCAACAGTTATTACGCGGTTATACATCTGCAGTTGTTGCTGCTGCAACGGCTACTGTTGCACAATATTTTGTCGTAATGCAGTTAAAGGAACTCAACTTCTTAACTGCATTTATGAGATTATAAATTTGAAGAGAGATTGATTTAATAGGAGAAAAAATAAAAAAGAACTAATCCGTTAGGCAATTAAGACTAAAAGTTTTCGTAGTAATTTTTGCAACTAAAAAAAAAACCCAAATTATGATTTTTGTTTTGAATCTTTTTTCTCGTGTATTATATGTCTTTTGCACCTTTCTTCTTTCGATTTTTTTTTCTATTTGTAATTTGTTTAGCAGTTCATATGTCGGTTTTTTTTTTAAAAGTGTTATTATGAAAAAGGAAAAAATCTGTTCCACTTTTTTTCCTTACTTTTTCTGAAACTCTCTTTTTTTTTTTATTGGTTTTACTGGTTTATTATGTATATTAATGATAGAAAAGTTAAAAAAAAATCAGGTAAATGAATTAAGAACCATTCGTCATTGTAACTACCAACAAAAAAAAAAAGCAGAAATGTAATAATTCCACGAAAAATGTGTGAAATAAAAAAAGAAACAAGAAAAAGAGAAGCATCAAAAAAAAAAAA